ATTGTGAATTGTTAGGTAACTGCTTTCAAGTAGCTGGGAAACTAAATGAAAAGTGTAGTGAACACAGAGACCCAACATCAATCACGCCACTCCTTGCTTGCCTGTAGTTGAATGTTCTGAATATTATAATCTGTTGTAAATGGAATAATGGATAATCGATCTGCTGATCATTAGTATGTAATGGTCAAGTATATGCTTGATGACCACTAGCTCAGAACAACTGATTCTTTGCCTTTGTCCCCTTTCTGTAAGTTTTTAGTGTAATCCCCCACCCCTTAGCCCTATATAAAATGGTCTCTGTTTCTGAGCTAGCTGTCTCTCTGAGCTACTGGCTTGGGGAGTGCCATCTGGGCAGACTAATAAAGGTCTATTTGCCTACTTGCCTGGTGTGTTCCTTCCTGGGTGACTCTCACTGTCCGACAAGCTTCTGGAGCCTCGCTGAGCTTCTGAGCCCAGCATCGTGGAAGCCTCTTGGCTGTTCATGCTCCAGGAGTAAAAGTGAGACTTAAGTCTTACACCATGACCAGCCAACAGGATTACAAGTTCAGTCACCCAGGTAATATTGATTAAATGGGGTCAAATGGGGGGAGCAAGTCACATAGTATAAGGATTTTCAGTAAGGGTGGGGTCAGGGATATTTCCTGGAAAGGCTGGGTTAAAACCTTGGCCCCACACCCAAGTGATTGAGACCTATTTAGAATATCAATCACTGCTATTTAACTCCAGGGAAAGCACAAGGGTGTAGTATTTTCTCTCCTTGTACAATTCTGGCCTTCAGTGAATGTGTCTTGGTTGTCCTCCATGTTGGCTCCTCCTCTGTATTCCACATTGGCTCTAGGGGACAAGTAGGCCATACAGGGTGCAAAGAAATATTAAACCACTCTTTTTTGGTATGTGAGGGTCAAACATTTTCCAATATTTAGGAATACATTCCAAAGGAGCAAGAGGTTCCGATATGGTGTTCCCCATCACCAACCAGTAATCTCTGTGGAAGACCTCCAAAATGATATATGAGGAAGAGATGTAAATCCCAAATCTATTAGATGTCTGAAATGTGAGTTCATGTTCTCTAAAATAGAAGAATGAATTCTAGGAACAATGGAGGTTAAGAGTAGGAAAAATTTATTGGGAGAAAGAAAGCTTCTGCCTAAGAGAGACAGAAGCAGGGGCAGAAAGTGGCTTGCCCCAAATGAAAATTGTTTTAAACCAACTACTTGGCTTGTTTTTAGTACCAAAGGTCTTTTTTGTTGTTGTTGTTTTGAGACAGGGTCTCACTATGTAGTTGAGACTGACCTGGAACTCACTATTTAGCCCAGGCTGGCCTCAAACTCACAGCAATCCTCCTGCCTCAGCCTCCCAAGTGCTGGGATTACAGGCATGCACCACCATGCCCAGCCCCAAAGGTCTTTTAACACATAAAATATTACTTTATTGTCTTCAGCATGCTCCTGAAAAATATATCTTTTTATTGTTCTTTTTGTAGGTGATGTGCTCTTTCTTTCTGATGACTTTTAAATTTTCTTGTTTTGAAATTATCAATTTCAATTAAGGAATGACTTTAATTCTTCAGTTTGGTACTATAAGAGCACTTTAAATCTAAAATCATTTGTTTTTTTACTCCAAAGATATTTTTCTATTATCTCTTTGTTTTTTTCTCTCCATTTTTTCCAGTGATTTCTATTTCCCAGGTTTACTCTGTTCTCTATAGCACTTTATCTTTCATATTTTCTGATTTTACATTGTTTCCATTGCCTTTTTGAAGACTTTCTCAAAATGAACTTTTAATGACTAATTTATTTTTTGTCTTTACTTACTCTATGCTTCTATCTTTTATTTCAATTACTGTACTTTTTATATTTATGACTTTTCACTTCACATAGTTAACATCACACGCTTTTCCTTGCAAATTTTCTTAATAGTTTAATTTTTACTTTATTTAACTCAATTATTCTCTTTTACAAGGTATGTGCTGTCTGGTTTCTTTTTAAAGTAATTGCACTTCATGCATGTACCTATTTTGACTTCCTGGCACATAGTTTTCCTTGACAGTATCCCCTCTCCTGCCCTAATATGTTCCAAAAAAAAAAAAAAAAAGAAAAAAAGAAAAGGTTGAACCCTTCTTTGCCCTTCCTCAGTGAACTTAGAAGACAAAGTATATGGCCCAACAATACCAAGGAATGACTGCTGGTCATACTAGCTGAATTACACTCCACAAGGAAATTTCCCCAAAGTTTTGTATTTAAATTTTAGTGCAAGACCACATTAAAATAAAACAAATTACTTATTTGTATGCAGCTGGTAGTCTTGGTACGGAGCAGTGATTTCCCAACTTTGACTGGTGTCTATGTCTATTCTCATCAATGCTTTATGTTAGCATGGGCTTCTCTCGTGTTCACGTTACCCAGTATTTACCAGAAATCTGGCTATTGCTGCAGGTTTGTTTTCATTTGGCAATTAATGATTGAATATGAAGAATGTGAAGGGGATACATAAAAAATTAAAATGATTTCTTCCACTCTTGTGGCCCTTGACTTTAGCCTCTAGGACCCTTAGATACCTGTACAATCTAGAGATTGAAATTTTCACACCTGGGTGCTTTGTTGTTTTGTGGTGGTTCTTGCTGATAATTTTTCAAATCTAATCCTCTTTCATTTATCCAGGGGACAGAAGCCTATATTAGTTCAGAATCTTGATTAGAATAAAGGATTTCAGTCTAGATCTAGAAGCAGTAAGAAATATAGTATTTTAATGTAGTAAGATGACAAGATAATTTTTGTGTTTTCAAAAGGCAGAGGGTAGCAGCGTTTGGAGGAAAATAATGGACATGGTATCAATGAAAACCTAACTAATCCTAGTAATCTTTGGCCACAGTAGGTGTTAGAAATAAAAAGAAGATATGTAAGATATTTGGAAGTTAAAATCTGCAAGATTTGGTGATTGATATATAGTTTGGAAGAAAACGAAAGTGTTAAGAATGACACCTGGACTTCAAACATTTTAAATAGGATGACATGTATTTTTCTTTCTGTAGATAGAGCATTGTAAGGAAAAATGTCTGTTGTAGGGATGAACCATCAGGACACTAAAGACAAAAAGGTAGGGGGAAACTCAGGAAAGTGTATTTCCAATCTCATCAAAAGTAGAATTAAGTAACACTTTTTTCGGGGAAAAATTATAAATGAATGTCAGATAAATGGTATCAACACCAATAAGCAGCTGCTTGAATCAAATAAGTAGAGTGGATTTCCTGATACATCACTCAGGACTCTTAGAAATGAAAACCTCACTCTCCCATCCTACAAATGCTACCAGCAGATATTCCTTGGATCTCAGCACCTTTGAATAACTGCCTTAGCTATGAAGTTTATTTTGTCTGAGCTCATGAGACCTTTTTCAACAGTGCCTGAATGAATTAGCTGATTATTATGGGGTATAAAGGGATACTCTATGATCATCCTCCTGGATGAAACTTTGCAAGTTCATCCCAATTTTAGATTTCCATGTGGGACAGGATAATATTTTGCTGAGACTGTTTATTACATCCTATCTCTTGCTTTGCCAAAGTTTTTTTTCTCTTTTCTTCCTTTCACAGAAACTGGTCTTTAATAAGCTTACTGTCTACCAAAGTCCATTCTAAGAGTCTGCTTCCCAGTTAACTCAAGTTGTGATACTGATTCTTTTTTTATTAGGAGTGGTGATAGATGTAAGAAGCCAGACTGCAAAAAGAAAGAAATGAACAGTAAGTAATAAAATATAACAAGCAAGAATGGGCAATTCTTTCAAGTAAGTTTGTTGTTGGAGATTGGAGGATTAGCAGAACTAAACATTAAGGACTCACCACTCTGTCCCCTTGTTGGTATGGGAGATATAGAAGCCTGAAGATAAATGCCAATTAGATACAAAATTTTTTTGTAATTGAAATAAGCTTTCATAGAGTGAATGTAAGTTAGAAAGAATCACTCCCTGTTAAACATAGCAGGACAGAAGAATTCTTCAATCAGTACCTCATTAAAGAGAGAAGAATGAGTAACAACATTTTTAAAAGACCAAAATAACCCTGTAGTTGGCCACCCTAAGTCAGCCAAACTTTGAACAGCATGAGTCTGCTTACACAGGCATCGCCTGTATCAGATAAAACTGGACACTGTATCTGAAACTACTCACACAGATTTCCAGCTCCAACTCAAGACAATTTCTACCCTATAACCAGAGACTGAAACTGATTCTCGGACAGTGACTTCACTGCAGGGTTCTAGAGATTTCTGAAAAGCTGTTCTTTGCAGATTCATACACAGCTGGCAAAAATAATTTTATATAGAAATCGAAACCTTTGAGAATAAATGAATCAGCTATACGACAATGATAGTTTTGACTGAAACACGAACATAGAGGATGTGGAAGGTGTAGTATGTCTCGAAGCAAAGCTTAGGTAAAAAAGAAAAAGTACACTTGTTTTTAACTATCAATAATAGATTGCTAGCCACAGGCAGCATTTGAAATCTCTCACGCCACGAGTATAGGACGACCTCAAAAAGCCCGCTGATATTTTTGTACCGCTGGCAGGAAAGGAAAACTTGGGCGGCGACATAAAGGTAGAAAAATTTACCACTGACCCCGGAAGCATTTTCTTTGCGTAGGCGGCAAGAAATTCTTATTTCACGATTAAGTCCTTGATCCGGAAGGAGAAACAACAAACTTCATTTGTCATTGGACTGCATCATAAAGGTGGAGCCTAAACGAGCCAGTCACTTGGTAACCGGTCGTGACGATGCCGGAAGCGGCCGGTCAGAGCTTTGCTCTGGGCTGGCGGCGTCGGTGGGCGGAGCAGTTGAGCCAGACCGAGGCTGTCTTCACTGCTGACCCGGCCCTGCTGAGGGCGGTGCCACTAAGCCCCGCCTGCCCCACCTGCCCGGGCTGGCTAAGGAGCGGCGCCGTAGCTCTGCAGGGCGGAGACTCCGGACATCTCTCGCTC